AACCCCTGATTGGATCTCTTTCAGATATCTCAGTTTATACAAATATAAAATTGAACCCTTGATTCTAACCTGTGGTTCAAAAAACAGAACAAAACGCCACCAACAAAAACAAGAAGAAAAATCCTGTTCCATTCCTCACTCTTCTGTTAAGTAGCATCATTTAGTTGTGTAGGCCAGAATCCTGTGTGCTATCCTTGATTATTACCTCTTATTTATCCCACATAGACAGTCACTTGTCCAGTCCCTGTAAGTACTAATATTAAAATACATTTCAAATTCTGTCTACTTTTTTTATCCCTATTCTTTTAAATCTTATTTATTTATTTATTTATTTATTTATTTTAAAGTTGACATATAGTCAGTTACATTGTGTCAATTTCTGGTGTACAGCATAAGGTCCCAGCCATATATACACATACACACATTTGTTTTCATATTCTTTTTCATTAAAGGTTATTACAAGGTATTACATATAATTCCCTGTGCTAAACAGAAGAAATTTGTTTTTTACATAATTTTACATATAATAAATATTTGCAAATCTTGAACTCCCAAATTTATCCGTTCCCACCCCCTTTCCCCCCGGTAACCATAAGATTGTTTACTTTGTCTGCAAGTCTGTTTCTCTTTTGTAGATGAGTTCATTAGTGTCCTCTTTTTTCCTTTTTTTTTTTAGATTCCACATATCAGTGATATATTGTATTTTTCTTTCTCTTTCTGGCTTACTTCACTTATAATGATGATCTCTGGGTCCATCCATGTTGCTGGAAATGGCATTATTTTATTCTTTTTTAAGACTGAGTAGTATTCCATTATATAAACACACCACAACTTCTTTGTCTAGTCATCTGTCGACGGACATTCAGATTGTTTCCATGTCTTGGCTATTGTATATGGTGCTACTATGAACTTTGGGGTGCATGTATCTTTTCGAATTAGAATTCCCTCCAGATATAGGCACAGGAGTGGGATTGCTGAATCATATGGTAAGTCTATTTATAGTTTTTTGAGGAAGCTCCATACTGTTTCTCATAATGGCTGCACCAAACTACATTCTCACCAACAGTGTAAGAGTATTCCTTTTTCTCCACACTCTCTCCAGCATTTATCGCTTGTGGACTTTTTATTGATGGACATTCTGACTTGTGTGAGGTGATACCTCATTGTAGTTTTGACATATGGGTCAATGGAACAGAACAGAGAGCCCAGAAATAAACCCACAGACCTACAGTCAATTAATCTTTGACAAAAGAGTCAAGAACATACAATGGAGAAAAGACAGTCTCTTCAGCAAGTAGTGTTAGGGAAACTGGACAGCAGCATGTAAATCAGTGAAGTTAGGACACTCTCTCACACCATATGGAAAAATAAACTCAAAATGGCTTAAAGACTTAAACATAAGACAAGACACTATAAACCTCCCAGAAGAAAATATAGGCAAAACATTATCTGACATAAATCTTAGCAATGTTCTCCTAGGGCAGTCTATCCAAGCAATAGACATAAAAGCAAAAATAAACGAATGGGACCTAATAAACTTTCAAGCTTTTGCACAGCAAAAGAAACCGTAAGCAAAACAAAATGACAACCTATGGAATTGGAGAAGATATTTCCAAATGATGTGACTGAAAAAGGTTTAATTTCCAGAATATATAAACAGTTCATACAACTTAATAACAACAACAAAAGAAACAACC